TCCTTGCAAAAAATCTGCTGCATCCATTCTTCCAAAAGCCTTAACAAAGCAACCTACACAACACTTAAAAGAATTAACACAAAATTTCACCATCAACAAATCATAATTAAAATAAGATGCAAGAAAAATACCTTCCAACATATCTTAATCACACTAAGAAGGGAGAGTCTTATTCAAATTTGTCGTGGATGTTTTACTCCCCATTTCTACAAAATATAATAAAATAAATCAAACCAATTTGAGTTAGAACACATAAAAATAAGAAAATAATTAAATTCAAATATACTTATAGAAATGAAAACATTACCCAGTTCAATTGATTCATAGAACTCCATCTCCTCAATGCTTGGCACATATTGCAATGAAGATATATCTTCGGACCTTATCCAATTTTGAGAGCAAATCAAAGCCTCAACCATCCTAGGAGACAATGAGCTTCGAAACTAGTCAATCACTCTCCCACTTGTGCTAAAACAAGACTCCGAAGCTATTGTGGAAGTAAGGATTGCAAGCACATCCTTTACAACTGATGCCAAAGTAGGATACTTAAGCCCATTTATTCTCCACCACCCTAGTATATCAAACTCCTCATCAATGGATTCAAGTGGATCCAACAAGTACCTATCCACTTCATGTGTTATAACCACATTCTCACTCTCTTGTTGAATTTTTTTCCACCTTTCCATCATGATTTTTCGCTTACGACCTCCAAAAACCAAAGAAGAGTCGGTTTCATTCTTAGTACTATCACCACTTTCATTGGTAGTACTAGTAGAACCCACATTGTTACTACTAGGCTTATACACTTCATACATATTCATAAGAAGTTGTTTCACTTCATTTGTCTTTTGAGCCACCAATCTTTCACAAGTAAGATCATTTTCAAATATTTCTTCAAAGATGTGCTTCAAATTGCGAAGCTTGAATCGGGGGTCAATCACAACTCTTATCATCAAGAATGGGTTCACTTTATGAATTTCACCCCAATATTTATCATATTTCTTCTTCATTGATGCTGCCATATCATTTAAAAGAGTATCCATGGTTGTTCGTTCTTCAACAGGAATTGTAACATCATATCTATACAACTCCCGAATCTCCCCATCTATGGCAAGCAAGTCATGGAAGGTTGAGTGTGATGTTGGATGCAAAGAAGCTGAAATTTTCAACGTGACATCATAGAAGGTCTTCAAAAACATAACAAATGTCACGGCTTTTTCCCAATCTTCATCACTAGGTGGACCCACCCTCTTATTAGTCTTAGACTTTCCCTTCCCTTTCCCACTTCCTTCAATGCCTTCAATTCTCTCATCATCTCCTTCATCTTCCTTGAAGTACACTAAGTAGGAAGAATCGGGATCATCCCCCATTCTATCAAAGGCTTTTCGAAATTTCAATGTTGCATCAAGCATCAAATAAGTGGAGTTCCACCTAGTGGGCACATCCAACACCACCAACCCCTTGCACTCTATTTTTTCCGTCTCAACACACATTTTGAAGTAACTCAACCGAGAAGGTGAGGACCTCACAAACTTGACCGCATTACGGATTGCCACAATTGAGCTTTCTAATCTCTTCAAACCCTCCTTAACTATCAAGTTGATTATATGAGCACTACACCTCATATGCATGTGAACTCCTCCTAACACATTATTTGAATCTTTCAACCCATTTATTTTCTTCCTCACATATTCAATTGCCTCAGTATTGGCAGCTGCATTATCTGCAGTAATTGTGAGTATCTTCTCATGTCCCCAATCAATCAAGCAATTTTCAAGCAATTTCCCAATGCTCTCCCACTTATGACTATCAATTACACAAAAATTTAGGATCCTTTTGTGCATTTTATAGTCGGAATCCACAAAGTGGGCAGTCAACACCATATAATTCACATTTTAAACCGATGTCCAAGTATCGGTTGTAAGGCATATTCTATGTGAACGCAGGTCAACTTTCAACTTCTCCTTCATTTTTGTGTACATTTCTAGAAATCTTCTTCCAAGAGTTCTACGAGAGGGTGGATTAAATTGTGGGCATGCAACACTACAAAATTCCCTAAACCCTTCACCCTCCACAAAGCTAAAAGGTAGCTCATCCCGAACCATCATCCTAATACAAGCATCCAAACAATCATCTTTGTTAAAATTAAACTTCCTTGAAACAAGAGCATTACCCTTGGATGCATCAAATGCGAGCGTCCGTGTGCTCTTATCCTTGTGCCTATAAGGATATTGCAAGCATTGTTTGTTTAGATGCTTCCACATATTGCTTGTCCCATTTTTCTTGGTATCACTAGAATAAGTAGCACTACAATACTTGCACTTAGCCCTTTTTTCAATTTCTTTCTTTTAGTCCCATCTACCCCTTTCAAATCCAATACCAAATCATACTCTTCAAAGTGTTCCCACACATCACTCTCCTTCTTACAAGGTTTCATTTTCCCGGTACTAGGTTCTAACGGTGATGGTGTTGGATTTTGTGATGCTGTTGTAGGAGGTACAACAGCATCACTACAAGGTAGAGAATCATCATTCCCATGCATTTAAGCCTCATTAGAAACAGGTTCCTATTCATAAACAGAGTAAAACCATATTTAAACACAGCCAAACAAAGTTTAACTACCCATAAACATATTAAAAGATATATCCTATTTAAAAAAACACATTTAAACTGTCAAAACAGATTTAAATTATGCATACAACTCCCGAAACATATATCATATCCAACAATCAGACAACAAAAACATATTACAAATTACATAATACAAAAACAGATTACAAAAACAGACTACAAAAACATATTACAAAAACAGATTTTAAAAACAGATCACAAAAACAGACTACAAAAATATATTACAAAAACAGATTATAAAAACAGATTACAAAAACAGAAACAGAATTACACATATTAGAAAAACATATTACAAAATAGATTATAAAAACAAATTACAAAAACAAATTACAAACACATATTTAAACAAATTACAAAAACAGATTTAAACAAATCACAAACACAGATTTGAACAGATTACAAAAACAGATTAAACAGATTACAAAAACAGATGTAAACAAATTAGCAGCAGCAGTGAATATTTACCTCCATTTAAGCAAAATTTTCCAAAACTTCAAAGCTCAGCAACAGCAGCAACGCTAAACAACTGTGAATGAAATAAAAAAAAAGGTGAGGTTACAAACAAGCTTCATTCGTTTCATAAACACAGTAAAGATAGATTTAAATTACAAAAAAGTAAATCATATGGGGACACAAATGAAAGACAAAAATGTATGATAGCCTCAAATTAGGACATGTCACATATACAAGCTCCTAGGCCAGCTTGACCTATAAATATCAGGGTTTTTCCCCTGCATTCTGACAATTGGACTACAGTTATTGGACCTATGTGATGAATACATTTTACATGTTACTACTTATTGGACTACACTATCTATAATTGTAGCATACAATATATGAGTCTCTAGTCTACACTTTTTATTACTATTAGGAGATGTATCAATGGTTCATAGTCACTAAGCACACATGAGCTTGAGTTTAACATCAACAACTTACAATCACCACGCACAAACACAAAAGCTGAATCTAGAATTAGAACTACATTTACTTTTTGAGTTCAAAATGCTGAATTTTAAGAATTGATGTAAAAATTATCTCAAACATTAAGTGTAGAATGTCCAGACCGTTTAAACCATTTCAAGATAGCACACGGCAGGTAGATTGAGCACAGACACATTAGCTAATTTATACTCAAAATCAAACTTGCTTTTTTTTTCTTTCTCTATTTCTCTCTGTTTTTCTATGTTCTGCCTTATTCTATCAAAAAACAGACAGCACACAAACAGATTGAGCACAAGCAGATTGAATGGAAGAATCTTTCAAAAAAATGCAAAAATATTTTCTCAAGTTCAAAGCATAAGTCCCCTATGATATCAGTATAAATTTCAAAGCCAAAAAAAAAAAAACCCTATAATGTACAGAAGAGAGAGAATTTACCTTCGGCTAGAGAGATGGTTTTGGCGGCTGCCTCAAGAGGGCAACGATTAGAATTGATCTCAGGTATGTGATGTGCATGCCTGAAGCAGAGAGGGGTGTTG